CACTTAAAACCTTCATCTTTCTCATTACAAAGATTGATAGTTTTGCTATCTGATATGCTTTAAGGATAAGTAAATGTCTCCTTCCCTCTCCCCACACCATTGGGGGAAACTGACTAGTTTGAAAGGGTGCCTTTGATGTCAGTGTTCCTCAGGGCATGGTTACACCCAGAGTGAATTCCAAGTTGGGAGTTCAGTTGGTGATGGTAGTTAGTTACATTTTAAAGGGTACTTTTGGGATTGAGTGTTAACATGGTCTCATTTAAACATACAACATACATAAATAAAGACTGAGCCATAAGTGTTCGTAAGTATTCTCAATGGATCCTAAGTTCTCACATACATAAAGTGTTCGTAAGTATTCTCAATGGATCCTAAGTTCTCACATTCATAAAAAAGTGCCAGTTTCAGCCTATATCAGAAATCTTAAAACATGTATTTTGTTTTTATAAACAAAACCAGCCATAGTACCTAGTTGAGTTATTTTAAGTTATTCATGTCCTGTCCCTTGAAGACTTTTCAGAATTTCAAATGAGCAAGTTCAGAAGAAATGTATATTCTTACTTTAGTGGATTTTGAAAGGATATTTAAAAGAATTTTTGTGTGTATGCAAACTGCCAAAATAAGTCTGAATGAATTGCGCTTAAGTTATTATTGTTATAATTGGGTCATCTGTGCTCATGGTTGGTTTTAAAAGAATTTTTCACCCCTTATTTGTAGGGTTATTGATGTTATTTCTAACTAATTCGGCAGTCCTTGCCTATATGCTTAAATTTTTAAAAAACAAACGCGCAAAACTAGACATTTATAATGAAGTTGTTTTTCAGTCACGTAGAGGCTGCTCTCAGATGAAGCTAAAAGTGTCTGAAGAATGTTCTTGTGCATATGCCAGGAAGCTTCTGGAATGGGCATATTTTTAAGAATTTAGAACATAAACAGCTGTGATCCGTGGCAGGAGATTTAAATGACCTCATGATGACAGCAAGAACAAAGCATTTTTAAGTTATCATGGTGGTGTGTTAATTCATTGCAATGTGTTTGTCATTCTACTATTTTGGTGTATTAAGTGAGAGCCAGGCAAAAAATTACAGACTGTATTTAACTGAAGATACTATTTCTTTATTGTTGTAAACAAACTAAATACCAGAAAAATATTTCCCAAGAATGATATTTCATGAATTATTTAGAGCTATAGGTCCTAAAAAAAAAAAAAAATGCATGAACCACTTTGGGATAAAGGCCATTTATTTAGATTCTAAAGTTTTGATTCATTTTCTGTTGGAGAGACTATGTTCCAAACATGAAAGATCAAACAGTTGGCTTGAAATAAGAATTCCTCCTTCAAGACAGATCAATTAAGTGCTTATTAAGTACTTACTATGTGTCTGGCACTATGCTAAATATTATGCAATACAAAAGAAGGTGACTTCAGCTGCCTTTGTTCTAGTTGGAAAAAAAAGGCATACTCAGTTGAAACTTCTAAACTAAAAAAAGACGTTATTATAATCAAGTACCAAACAAAAATAATACATAATTTATGTGATACAAATAATGAAATAGCCCTTCTCTTCAGAAATGACTTCTAATGCTTGAAGAACAAGAAAGGGAGAATTGTTTCCAATCACCTGTCCTGAAACAGATCTATATCACCTTTTGGTTCCCTCAGAAACAACCTATGGTATCTTGAACTAATGGTGACTGAAGTTTGACTCAGTATCTTTTTCCTACTGTAACTGAGCATGACCCTATGGGGCCTTCCTAAGACAGACCCCTCCCCCATGTCCTCTGCTTTAGCTCCTCTCTGAAGTACACAGATAACAGTATATAATGCACATTTCCTGAGTTGTTTTACAGATGTTAAAACCCCCACCAAATGGAAGAAATTAACTATTTGATGACCATGAGCACATAGCCCCCAGACCTACTGGTGCCTAAGGATTGATGTTAATGCCTGTGACAGTACCCTGTTATCTCACCATCGACCAGTCAGAGAATTGTACATGAGCTGATCACATACCCTGGGATTCCTCTCGCTCACTTTGCCTTTAAAAATGTTTTGCTGAAACCCATTGGGGAGTTCAGGCTTTTTGAGCATTAGCTACCCTGGACTCCTTGTTTGGTGCCTGCAATAAATGCTGCACCTTCCTTCACAAAAAAATGAAGGAAGGGAAGTGAAGGGCAGGGGAGGAAAAAGGGGAGGAAAGAAATGACTTCTAATCATTGTCTAGGACAGTGGTTCTCAACTAGGGATGATTTTGCTCCCTAGAGGACATTTGGCAATTCTGGAGAGATTTTTTTATTTTCATAACTGGGGGCTACTGGCAGCTAGTGTGGATAGGCCAGATATATTGCTTAACATTCTATAATGCACAGTCCTTCACAACAAAGAATTATCTGGTCCAAAATGACAGTTGTACTGAAATGAGAAACCCTGGTGTAGAACCTACAAATGTCAGTGATAATTTGAAATAGTGGGAAATGGACTCCCGTCTTCCCCTAGACCTCTGTTGCCCTGGTAATGCTGTTTGCCTGAGGCCATTTGGATCCTTACATAGAAATGAGCATTGAGGATCTATAAACTTTTGAGCATTGAATGTAAGTTTTTCCAGTACAGTGTTTGAGAGAGAGATTCCATAGGTTTTTTTTTTTTACATTTTATTATTATTATTTTTTAAATTATTTATTTATTTATTTGGCTGCACTGGGTCTTAGTTGCAGCATGCGAGATCTAGTTTCCTGACCAGGGATCAAACCCTGGCCCCCTGCATTGGGAGCGTGGGGTCTTAACCACTGGACCACCAGGGAAGTCCCAGAAATTCCATAGTTTTTATCAAATTCTAAAGGTATCCATATTCCCCAAAAATGTCAAGACCCAGTCACATGTGGAGTAGTTCATAGAGATTGAGACACATTAAACCAATGTTCTAGTCACCTAAAAGAAACAGTAACACCTTTCTTAGCATCATGCTGAGATAGAAATAGAGTTTAAGTTTCAAGGATTAAAATTAACCAGAGAGTACATTTTGGTGGGGGGAAAAAACACTCTAAATATATTACTTAATTTAGTATTTTGGAGTAATAAAATCTTAATGTATGAGGAAATTAGAATACCTTAAGGATTATTATTTAAACATCATATTTAATAACACAATACTGTGCATTTAGAATTTGAGACTGGACTGTGTGCTGACCCACAGGCATAATATATAAATTGTTTTATTTTGCTGTTCGAACGCAACTTGTTTTGTCAGGATTTGCTTCTTTCTCCCAAACGAGGATCCAAGTTTACATTTCCTAAGGTGCTATGTATCTGTTGATTCAGTCAGAGATCTGGACATGTTTTATACAGTTCACATTTCTCCTGAAAACTGTTTAGTAAAGTGATTGTGTTTTCCTTATAAGAAACGTTTTTGAATTGAGAGTTGTGTTTCTGATTTGGCATCCCGTAAATCAGAGAGTATCCCATAAATCAGGCATACCAGCAGTATGTCATGAAAACAAATCTACATAACCTTGAGTATGCATATACCTTAATACTTTTCTAACTTACAGAAATTTAGAGATTAAGTCTTGGCTTAAGAGCCAAAGAGGGGACCTTATAGATCATCTGTTCCAGCTGTCTCTGCTATTCTTTGGGGCTCAGGACCCAAAGCACCACTTTTAGCTGTTTTGTGTATTTGGACTTCTACCAAATATTTTCTTTTAGGAGAAAAAAGGTGTATGCGGGAGGAGGGAGTTGCATGCTTCTGATCCAGACTAACCTCATTTTGCAGATAAGGAACCTGAGGCCCAAATCTTTAGATTTTATTCATGGGCTATATGTTTCTTTATTTTAGATCAAACCAGCATTTCAGATGTATCTGGTAATAGTATAGAGGACAATTAGGAGTTAAAATTGTAGCTGTATGGCTTCCTAGTTGTGTGTTCTTAGGCAAGTTGCTGAACGTTCTCAGTCTCAGTATACTCATCAGGGGAAAGGGGAATTATTACATCCTTAGGATGGTTTTCACTTTCTTAGAATTTAGGATGTATCCGGAAAGATAATCTGGGTTGACCTTGTCTCTAGATTCATTCCATTAATTTTTTAATGGATTCTGTGTCCTCTAAATGTTAAAACTCCCTCTCCCCAAACCCAACCATGACCTCCCCAAAACATTACAAAGTAAAACAAACATCTGTATTATCAAAGGGGATAACACAGTGGTCACATTTCCTTTACTTTGACAGTAATGAGGTCTTCATGAACTGATAGATCAGCCTTGGGGCCTTTTCTTTCTTCTCACCCCACTCTAGTTATTTCATAAGCCACCTAGACACATGAATCAGGAACTGCAGAATATAATGAACAACGACCTTGAGAGATAATTACAAGTTCGAATAACATCATTGAAAGAACTTAAACATACAAGGTGGAATCTGAACTTGATACTCCTTTTGATCTTAAAGATGTGGATTCACAGTGTGAGTTCTTGAGGAGAAATTACAGGAATTCTTTCTTCCTGGGGCATTTCAACAGGGATTGCCTTACTAATCAATTTTTGTTAGTCACTTGTAGTTTCCAGGGAATACAGTCTTTTACTTGGGCAAAGAAGCAAGTAGAAATAATTATGTTAAAGACCACTTACCTTTTGTTACCCAAGATTAATTAGTAGTCATATCCTGAGAAGATTTTGTTCCAGAATTTTTCTTAGTGTCTCAAGCAATTCAGTTAAGTACAAAGAAATGAATTTTGAGCTTAAATAAAGGAGTTTTCTTTAGTGGCTTGACCACATATTTATTTGCTGAGTTGGTTTGTTCATTTTGGTTTGGTTAGGTTTATTGTCATTTGTTATTGGGAAATAGCTTTGATATAGATTGATACTACATTACTCTGTGACATTGTAGTGTTGCATTTTATCTTGTTACTCTAGTAAATATATGTAAATTACCTTTTTTGGTAAATTACATTTTTAAGTGAATGAAGCTATAACATTTTAAACTAACCTATCTGTGTTTTCTCTTAGGCCTTAAAGAAAGTGCAGAAGAGATGGTCAAAAACAGATTGGAAGGGAAGGATAAACTGACCCCATGGGAACAATTTTTAGAGAAGAAGAAAGAGAAAAAAAGACTGAAAAAGAAACAAAAGGTATCAGTGATAATCATGACCGAATAATTCCGAATAATTATTGAGCAACCACTAAGTATCAGAAGGTACCAGGTGCTTGGCATCTAGTATCTCATAATGTGACCACTCACTGCGGTGGGTGAAGTGTTTTCTGCAAGGCTGCATAATGATACACGAAGTTAGGTTATCATTTAACCTAACTGCCTTGCTCTAATATTTTACATTTATGTGCTACCTAAATAAAATGCATAGTTTAGTCAATTTCTAGATGTAAGACAGTTTGATTCTATTCTGTGTTTTTGAGGAAGAGGTACATATAGACATTTTTACTTGAGGATGTATACATAGAGAAAATTTCAACATGAATGAAATTTTTTCTTTGTATGTCCATTTCTCAAACTGCGTTTTTCACTTTTCAGTATTATTTTATTGTATAGATCTTTTAACATCATATTGTCATTAGATCCCTTTATCAGGGATATTTTCTCTGTGCTAATATGTTGTCTGTGGAAAATCTGATTTGACTCCTATCATTCAGGGATAGCATCTTTCCAGAGTTAGAGTCCTTAGTAATAGCAGAGACCACTTAGGGTTTTTGCCAATAAGAGTACTCTATCTTGTCAACGAAATGCAGCATTCTAGCAGTGCATTTATGGTCTTAAGATGGTATCACTAATCACAGAATTTTACAACTTTTAGGAATCTTAAATGATTAGTTTTAGTCCAACCCTGACGTTTTATAGTTGTAGAAAATTAAGTGATTCATCTGAGGATACACAGCTTGTTACTGGCCAAGCTGAGACCAGAATCCAGATCTCTTGCTCCAGTGCTCTTGCTACTGTATTGTGTTGTTTCTCTCCGTATGATGTAAGCTTGTGCTTTTGGTACAAGAGCTGCAATATTGAAAGAGGGCTACAAAATTGAATGATGCAATGGAGTGATTTTTGAACTCCTGTTATACTCAGTGTTTTTGGAAATGGATAGTAAAATGAGGAAATGAGGTAAGAACCCTGCCCCCGTTGATATGCTGCCTCCTTCAGGCAGTAAAATATCTTTTAAGTGGAATAATTCCACAAGTTATTAAGCCATCAGTTTATTGGAAGGCTTACAAATGGGTCTTTATGGGGTCAGTAAAGTAGTCACTCTTTTCTGAGATCTTTAGCAGCTATTGTCTTTGATTTTCATTTGGTGCTTTGAGATTATCTTCTGCTTTAATGCTTTCCCTTCATTGGGCTTAGACTGGACTCATTTTATCAATAATATTAAAAATATATCGGTTGAGTGCCCAGTTTGTTCTAGACTCAGCTCTGTACTGGACTTGGTGATTCCAGCAGATCTCTTCCATCTCCCCAGGTTCTTCACATACAGAAGAGTTTCAAGAATTCAAGTTGAAAATACTTTTTCCCCTTTTCCTCTTCATGACTTCAATTTGATATTGAGAAATTATTACTAAAGAAATGAATACGTTTATACGCCATAGTTGATACACTGTAATTTAGATCTAAAAAACAGTTTAAAAAATGTGAATAAATATGTGGTTAGCTATATAAATATTTCATAATCTTCGTTAGAAACATCATATTACTGATGAATCGGTTATAATAGTTTGGTGAAAAAGTTCTTAGAAGCCTTTGTTCTTAAAAGGATAGTAATATCAAAATGAATATTCTTTAGAGCTTGGTGGGTCTTCTTCAGCATGTAGGATGATGTTTAGCAATGTGCATTCTAAATGTTTTTGTTGAAACGACTCATGTTTTAGATTCCTGGGGATAAACTCAACCTGGTTAGTGTGATCTCAGTTTGCATATGTTCTGTGTATTTTATAGACTTGATTTTTAAAATTTAAATATACTAATTTAGTAAACTGTTCAGATTTGATTAGGGAAAATGTAACCAACAGATGTGCTTAAAAATAGCACAAAAGTTTTCATGAGTCGATTATAGATAAAACAAGGTAATTGTTGGAATTGGGTGATGAGAACAGTAAGTTCATTATCATTTTCTTTAAATAACCAGCAGATGAATTGCTTTATGATTTAAAAGATAACCCACAGGGGCTTCCCTGGTGGCGCAGTGGTTGAGGGTCCGCCTGCCGATGCAGGGGACACGGGTTCTGTGCCCCGATCCGGGAGGATCCCACATGCCGCGGAGCGGCTGGGCCCATGAGCCATGGCCGCTGAGCCTGCGCGTCCGGAGCCTGTGCTCCGCAACGGGAGAGGCCACAACGGTGAGAGGCCCACGTACAGCAAAAAAAAAAAAGGAAAAAAAAAAAAAGATAACCCACAATGCAGTACTTCAAGCTATTGATAATCACTGCCATTTCTCAGTTTGGTGAGAGATGAGGCAGGCCACCTCTCTTCACTGATCACCCATCTCAAAGTATTCTTCTCCTTGAATGTCTGTATTTTATTTTTGTCTCTTCTGGCACTTCCTATCTTGAATTACTATTACTGTTACTATATATATGTCTGTTTATGTGTCTATAACTTCTTTTAATAGATTGTAAAATTTTTGAAGACAAAAACCATGTATCTGATAACTTTCATTTCTCTCAAAAGTCCTACATAGTTCCTGCATTTATTAGTTCCTGAACAAACAAAAGAGTTACTCAGGAGTTATTTTATAAACTGATCCATTTAAAAAACTACTTTAATTTTAGATTGAACTGCTTGATTTCAAAGAAGTATGGTTTTTCTTCATGCTTGTATATTTTGGTCCTTATAATAAACTGTATGTATTTTTATATTCAACTTTAAGGCTCTTGCTGAAGAGGCCAGTGAAGATGAGGTTCCCTCTGATGTTGATATGAATGACCCATACTTTGCCGAAGAAGCTAAAAAAATAGGTAAGCCAGCCCATATTTGTAGTTCTCACTTGGACTCTAAGGTCCGCCTGTGTGTGCCTATCCACACATACTCTTTTTCCTTTTGGTAAACACTTTGTTTCACTAAAAAATAAAAAAATAAAAAAACAAAATTCCTAGAATTTGTATAGCTCCCTAGTGGCTTATAAGCAAGTTTGTCCTATGGGATGTAACCATTGATCGGATTAGGAGGGGTCAGCATACACCCTGTACATACAAGAAATAATTTCATTATAGGAAGCTTTGGGTAATATGATTAATTTAACAGTTTACTGGAGATGCCTTTCTGGGAAATATCCTTATAGACAGATTGACTATAAAAGGATGAGGAAAAAAAGGAAGTCATATTTTTGAGTGCTTTCACTGCTTTATTATAACACATCCATTCTATGTCTCTCTTTGCACAGGCTATGAAGAATTGAAAGCATGGAATAAATTTGTTTATATATTTGTGGATATGTGTATAATTTTTTAAAATTTTTACATGATTTACACGTGTGAAACAGGGTTTCATTCATAGTATGAAAGCTTTTTGGCTCAAATAGACAAAAGCATCTATGTTTCATTTTATCCTCTCTTCATTTATTCTGCTTCATTATTAGCTTCATTGTAGCTGAAAGCCAGCTTTCTCCCCTTTTTCCTTGAATCCCTAAACTATCAGGTATCTGATTTCCCTTATCCAGGGAGCTTTGTTTCCATTGCACATGCACCAGTCATTCTTTCCTGAATGCTTTCATTCTTACCTTTTTGGTATGTATAAGTTGTGTGTGTGTATAAAAGTGTGTGGTAAGGTTCAGGCCATACTTGGACAAGTCCATGCAGGACCATTGTAAGCATTTTCCATTTGTTCTCATGCATTTTGCTTTCCCCTGCTCTGCATACCACACACATGAACCCCAAAGGCTTGGTGCTGGAGCAACTCCAAGCTGGCATTGTAAAGAGAAGAATTTTATGAAGTTTCCCTGCTTCTTGTCCCTTGTGACTAGTGGGCCAGAATAGTTCTCAACAGGAAAGTCAAAATTGCTCAAAATTATTTCCTGGTTGTTACAGCCTTTTATCACTGACATTCTATTGATGAAAAGGAGATCAAGATGAATAAAGTCTATTATAGGACGTGAGATTCTTAGGAATTGGAAAGGGAAATGGAAACTTAGCATATTCTGCTTTTTATCATACCTGAGCAGTCATTTCTAGAAGATGATGGATTTTAGCCTTATCCTCCGATTTCAGGAAACCAAGTTTATAACAGAGAAATGCGAAGCATTATAGTTTCCTTATTCTCATTCCAAAGTGCTTCATTTGGCATGTGAAATCTGGTCAAACTGCAGAATTCGGGGTAGGATTCAAAGAGTAAGTTAAATAGCTTGGTGGCTTGGGTAGCTTGTTTCTTGGAATCAGCACATTTAAATTGTGAGTAGTTTTCCCTAAAGTTAGTATCCAAAGTTCCAAGAGAAAATGCAGATTACGTTTGCTTGCTTTCGATATACTTTTGATTTCAGCATACTTTCTAGGAATAATTATTTGGATCTGGGCTTAAGTTGTTTTCTTTTAAGGAAAAAGAAAAAAGAGTGAATTTTTTTTTTTAGATAAAGTTAGGACTAAAAAATGGTATCTTGAAATGTTTATCCATTCTATCAATAAATATTTTTGAGTGCCTACCAGGTTCCGAGCGCTCTGCTAGGCTAGAGATACAGCACTAATAATACAAGCTAAGTTACATCCTTTAAGTAGGTTATAGTTTTAGGGAAGACATGCTAAACAGGTAAACAAATAAGAATATTATGCAAATATCACTGTTTTCAAGGAACTAATAAATAGGGTAATACAGAGCATATAATTGGGAGGAAGAAGGAGAGTAGCTTTCTTTATATACGGTGCGCAAAGCAAGCTTCTCTGAGATGGTGACATTTGAGCTGAGACCTGCAGAATGAGAAGGAGTCAGGCAGAGAGAGCTGGGGGAAGAGCATTGCAAATGAGGGGATAATGGGTAGAACAGCTATGAGGTGAGAAAGAACTGGTGTCAGAGAAATGGAAAGATACCAGTGTGGCTGGAGCATGGTCAGAGGGGCAGTTTGGTATAAGGCCAGGCTGGGACACAGGATTGACCCTGTAGGGCCTTGTGTCACGGCGACAAATTTGGATTTTACTCTACTGACAGTGGGAAGCTGGTGAAGGGTCTTAAAGCAAGGATGTGACGTGATGTGGTATGCATTTTAACATACTACTGTGGGTCCTGCAAAGAGAACAGATTGAAGAAAGGCATTGGTGAGTGCTGAGCGACCAGGCTTTTGTAGAGGTCTAGAGGTGATGGTTGGTCTAGACAGCACGACAGTAATGGAATTGGAAGGAGAAAAGTAAATGGGATTCTAGATATATTTTGGAGGTAGACTTGCTGATCTTTTTATTTGGATAAGGAAGGCATGTAGCATAACTCCTAGATTCTGACTTAGGAATCGGTAGCCTCTAAATAGTATTTCAAACCATGGAACGAGGGGTAGAAAGCATTGGTAAGAGAGGGAGTTGCAGGTTTGGGCTCTGAAGTCAGGAGGCTGCGTAAGGTACTCTGTCCTGGAGAAGGTACTACCTGGAAGGTAGGGGGAAAGTTTATGAAACAGAAGGAACCGCCATGAAATAGGAAAAGCATTAGTGTTTGGAATGGTGTATAGTTCAGCTCCACGGTTGAGCAGGACAGAGACATTTTAAGCCAGGACACCTTTGCCCTAGGCAATCCCAGAGCTAAACTTACACGCTCTTCAAAATATGGAGAAATTGAGTTCACTTACTGATGCCAGACCTGGTGTTTGGCTCGGGTTAGGAGCCAATGTGAGTACTAGAAATCTTTTCTAATTTTTCCTTTTAAGTTTTTACCCCCTACACTGTAAATTTGCTATAATTTTTCTATTTTTTTTTAAACTGCAAACTCAATATTAGATGAGAGTTTTGAAAATGTATTTCTAGAATGAGTTAAAAGTTATTTTTTCTTGTAGAAATGAAGTATTGGAAAAATTTGCTTAGTGCTACCTAATTGCATAAACTATTTGATAAGATTTTGTTTTTGAAGAAGTAGGAGTGAAATGAAGTGCATCACATGTTAAATATACCCTATTAGAATGTATCCTGTGTCTTGACAACTTTAGATATTTGATAAACCACCATGAAAATCTAATAATAAGGCACACATATTTGATTCATTCAGCCAGTATGCTGGGTGCTTACAGTATACTGCTCATTTGTAGTTTTACAGTTTACAAATGCTCTTATATGCATTCTGTCCTCTAATCCAAACTTTAGCCCACTTTATAGAGGAGTGAACTGAAAACGTGGTTGAATTGCATAAGGGCCAGTTGTAGATGATAGAACCTGAATCCTAATGGCTCCCTTTTACTTTTTGTAACTCTACAAGTGCCTTGTGTAAAGACCAAAGCCAGAGCCAGGATCCATATGTATAAGAGCTGGACACAAGGACTTGCTGGCTTTCCAAGCAAAGCCAGAATGCCTCGGTCCAGAGGAAGATTAACAGACTGTATTATCTGATGATGGACAAGTGATCTTGGGTTCAGGAACTTGCTGCTAAAGAGTAAATTGCTAGGGGGCTTACCACTCCTGTCTGGTCAGTTCGGAGAGCAGTCTGCCCTCCAGTGAATTCTCTTAACTGCCGTCTCACAAGAAGCTCTCAACTGAACACTCTGGAAGAACTTTTTTATGGGAACAATTCTCTGACATTACAAGTAATGGAAAATGGAATTTCTTTTACAGATATTCCTTTTACAGATCAACTGTTTGCAGCACATCTTTTTCCATGGATGTATTCTGTTACATTTTTTTGCTTAAAGGGATAGTGGCCTCAGTAAGGCTTGTTTAGATTTTTTTTTTTTTGGTGGGACGCGGGCCTCTCACTGTTGTGGCCTCTCCCGTTGCGGAGCACAGGCTCCGGACGCGCAGGCTCAGCGGCCATGGCTCACGGGCCCAGCCGCTCTGCGGCATGTGGGAATCTTCCCGGACCAGGGCATCAGCAGGCGGACTCTGAACCACTGCGCCACCGGGGAAGCCCAGATTTTTTTTCTTAACTATAAGACCCTAACACCCGATTTCAAGTCTCTGTTAATATTCAGCTTATTAGAATCATCTATATGTCCTTTTTGCCACAGTCCCAGGAGATGTGGACTCTCACTTGCCAAAAGAGTCACTGAAAAATAAAGATAACATTTCAGAACAGGGACTTTCATTTCCCTAGTACTCTTCACTAAATTAGGTCTGAAAGCTTTCCAAAGGGAAAATGCCTTTTTTTTTTAAATGCTTTTTTTTAAAAAATAAAGATATGCCCACCTAATATGATCTTGTTAACAGTGCAGAAAGGGTCTCTACACATTATTTATCTTCTGACTAAACAGTTCAATGTAGCACACAGTAAATTCTTCATGAGCAAAGAAATTTTCATCACACTAAAATTGGATATCATTTTTAGACCTGACCATCTTGGAGATTTTTTTCCTCTCTTGCTGCAGTCTTCCTTTCAAGTTTATTTTTATGGCTTTTCACCAGGTTGTTATAAAATCCGGAACAGTTCATTGTGGGCTCTTTGAAATTATTTCCCACAGCTGTATGTGAAGATCTTTATCTCCTTTATGTATTAATCATATACAGCCTGATTTTTTTCCCCTGCCACAGAATGATCTTCTGCATATGTCACTTGTCAATTCACTTCAAAAGGAGCTATTGCCTTAAGAGAGCAGAGGTAAACTTAGGGTGTGGGAGTCAGACCCTAAGAAAGTGGACCCTTGATGATATTTATATGTATAAATACATGCACATACTTACAACAGAGAAAAGGTTATAATCTTAAAGCAGATACATCATTCCCTGAAAAACATTTGAGATAGGAGCACTATCTCACTTAGGGGAAGGGCTACATATAATGATATTTCTTCCTAAAAGTGCAGACAGACGCCTTGGTAGCAGTGAGGGGTGAACGAGGCCACACTTATGTGCAGGTGTGTTCTCTCAGCTGGGCTGGGCTGCCTTAGTGCAGCAGGGCTAGTGCACGTGGAGCAGCTTCTAAAGCTTCTCTCTACTTCCTGTTATCCCCCATTAGCTGCGGTTGTTCAGCCATCATTATATGTTTTGTGAATTTTACTTTATTATTTTACAACAAAATTCATTTTAAATGGAAATGGCTCTTCCAGAGAGAATGACATTTGATAGCGAAGGGGTGAAGTATGGGTGATTAACAGAGAGCCTGAGCTGGAGTGCTCAGGTTTGAATCATGGTTCCTTTACTTACTCACCTTGAGACAAATTGCTTAACCTCTCTGTGTTTCAGTTCCCTCACCCATAGTGTGAAGATTGTAATAATAACAGAATCTACCTCATAGCATTGTTGTGAGGGCTAAAGCAGTTCCTGTATAAAATGGAATAAAACAGCAGTACTTTCTGGTGCCTAGTAAGTGCTGTAGAAGCATTAATTGTTGTTAATACTTTAGAGACCATTGCTTTCTCTGCATTTGGAAGGACAGAACTCAACTTAGCCAAATAAGACAGTGTCCAGCAGCTCAGAGAAGGTTGAGATTGTGTAATAACATTCTAGAGTAACAGAACATGCCTTTGTGGATTCTGAACCTTCTTACTCTTCAGAGTAGTTCTTCATACTTTGACACCAATTGTCCCTGAACCCCTCCCAACAGACAAAAAAAGGAAGAAAAATCAAAGCATCTGCGTGATCACCAAGGAACCCAAGATACCTTATATATGTATAGTCAGACTATTATAACAGTGATAGCAAGCAGTTTATAGCACCATGTGCCAGACATTAACTAAGCTCTTAACATTTTTTAGTGTATTTAGTCCTCACAATAACCCTAGGAGGTAGGTGCAAGTATTATAATCCCCACTTTACAGATAAGGACACAAGCACAAACTGCTACAGCTAGAATGTAGTTGAGCCGGAATTTAAACCCAGGCCAGCTGCTCCCGAGTCAAGTTCCCTTAACTGCCGTGTGTTACTGCCTCATCTAACACCTTGTGGTCTCCAGAAGTCCCTGAGTCCCTGAAATATAGTCAGTTTTCTACTCAGGAGCCAGTTTTCCCATGAGTAATTTTGTTTAATAATAATAGAACTAGAAAGTTAAAGATCAAATTGGTCTTTAGAGAAAGAGAAAGGGTTTTGTTAAACTTTTACTTACAGGTAGTTATTGTCAAATTGTCATTATAGAGATGAATTTTTCATTTTGCTGATGAGTTTTAAGAGTTTATATATTAAAATTACCTGTGTTTTGTTTTTTTTCCCTTTGTGATTTCTCCTATTATTCTTATGCTAAGAAAACATTCCTTCTATTTAAGATCAGGTAGCTGTTCCCCTGTATTTTCTCATAGGGTTTTTTTTCTAATGTTTAACTCTTTAATACATCTGCATTTTATTTTCCTGTACATTATACGATGCGTCTATAGCTCAAATTTTTTTTTGCAGAATAAAACAAATTGCCTAGCACCAGTTATTGAATAATCCTTTCTTTTTCCAGTGATGTATGATGCTACATTTTATTACATACTAAGCCAACTGTTCTATTTTTCTCATTATGTAGTACAGTGTTTTTTTCACTTCGTAGTACAGTTCAGCACACTGTATTACATGTATATCAAATCTATCTTGTTAATCTTTGTAAAGATTTCCTTGAATAGAATTTTATTAAATGTATCTATTTTGTCATGAGTGGATGTTGAATTTTATCAAGTACTTATTCTATATCTGTTGAAATGATCTTATGATTTTTCTTTTGTAGCTGATGTCTATATAATTATACATTACTTTCAGAAGAAATTCCTCCTTTGTAATATTCACTTATCCCCTCCAGACTATTATTATTCCATTCATACCCATAGTCATCTAAGTAATATTTTTTTACTTTCTTTAGTTTCTATATATTTATTGATAGATACCTTGCATTTTGTTATAAACAAAATTTTTAAAATAAAATAGTATAAACAGATTGTTTCTGTGATAGTCTTATAATTTTTAACCCTCCTATGTTGGTTTGTTGTGCCAGGTATAAAAGAAAAGAAATCAACAAAATCTGCAAAAGATGGCACATCTCCAGAGGAACAAGCTGAACTAGAAAGACAAAAGGTAAGACATGGTCATGGTTACATGCTTAGTTGATAATTGATATGTATAGTTCAAGTGGAGTTATCCATATGTTTCCAGTATCCCTAATAAAAAAAAAAATAGCTGATTTTAGTTATGAATTTATAAATAAGAATTTCAGCAGCTTAGTTTTTTGGGGTTTTTTGGGGGTTTTTTTTGCGGTACGCGGGCCTCTCACTGTTGTGGCCTCTCCCGTTGCGGAGCACAGGCTCCGGACGCGCAGGCTCAGCGGCCATGGCTTACGGGCCCAGCCGCTCGCGGCACGTGGGATCTTCCCGGACCAGGGCACGAACCCGCATCCCCTGCGTCGGCAGGCGGACTCCCAACCACTGCGCCACCAGGGAAGTCCCAAGCATAGTTTTTAAATGTCATCTTTTTACCAAATTTCTCCAACTAGTATCCAGCTAGTACAAAGTTAAAATTTACCTCAAACCCAAGGCATGTCCCTTTGTGATTAATTAAAAGGAAAATATCTTATTATTTAAAACCCTTACTATAACTGAGACCAAAACAAAATAGTACTATTAAAACCTTAAAATAATAATTCCATAAGTTTTAATTCAATTTAATTCAAAACCCTTACTATAACTGAGACCAAATAAAAATAGTACTATTAAAACCTTAAAATAATAATGCCATAAGTTTTAATTCAATAATTTAATTCAAGTTTTAATTTGGTCTCACTATAACTGAGACCAAAAAAAATAGTACTATTAAAACCTTAAAATAATAATGCCATAAGTTTTAAACCCTGTAATACAGGGTTTGCTTTATGGCTTGTTCAATGCTCATTTCTCTCTTTTTATTATTGAAAATAACATAAATTTAGTGTACAAAATTAGTCTTTCTTGGAAGTTTAGTGAACTTTATGCTTCAGTGCCTCCAAAGATCCATGGCACAGAGTAATATGTATTTTTGCTGAGACACGAATTGGAGTCAACAGTGTTCACAAGACTGATGTTCATAGCACTGTCTAGGAGGGAGCCTGACTGGTCACCTAAACTCTGCATCTTAATGCATGTTTTACTGCATATGTAGTAATGTTCACAGAGTTAAGGGGCAAAAGAAAACCTTTCTTTTGTAGAAAATGGCTCTAAAAAGAAAGCCAACTTCAGGTACTGGTGGTGGAAGGGAGACATAATTAAAGCAGTCTAAAGTGGTAATGGAGGAAGATTCACAGGAATCTCATAGCACACTCTGTATTTTCTCTAGTGTACATGGTTGTTTACTTGATTCTTGAAGGTTTACATTTAATCCCATGGTCAGTAGAAAATACCTATTTAGTGGAAACGAGCATTATATTAGATTACAGAAGCAAATATTAAGATCCTGCCTTCATAGAAATGTGTCAACATTGAAGAAGTAAAGGCCAAAAAAAAGCAAAAGAAAAAAGGAATTCCTTGTTCCTAAAGCACGTTTGGAAAGTCTAGTTTGTATCACAAGATACTACATTTGCTAGATTTAATGTCTGCTTAAAAAGAACAAACTGAAAATGAGAAATTTTTATTTGGGGGACTTGAGGACTCTTATTTCTACAGCCTACTAACCAGCTACACTAGGTGAAATATGGTCTGGAATTTAGATAAAGCTTCCTGCTGTCAGTGATGTTGCTTCTAAAAATTATACCCATTACTGTACAGAGATCTCTGGGTTTTGTTTTGAGTTCTGGTAATCCACAATCAGTTTATCCCGGAGCATTGGTGGCTCGGTGCTCCTTTCCTGGGGGGATATCTGTGCCCTCTACTCCTGTTTAGGGAAAGAAAAGCACTGTTGTATATTTGAACTCTTTTTTCTCTCCACAGGCTGAAATGGCTTTGCTCGTGATGGATGAGGAGGAAGAGAGCAAGAAACACTTCAATTATAACAAGATTGTGGAGCACCAGAATCTGAGCAAAAGGAAGAAAAAACAGCTTATGAAGAAGAAGGAATTATTGGAGGATGACTTTGAGGTAACCAGGGACAATAGTCATTATCTTCTTAAAGCTGGTGTTAAATCTAAAGTCAGCTCTGGAGATAAAAATTGAGCGTCTTGGGGCTTCCCTGGTGGTGCAGTGGTTGAGAGTCTGCCTGCCGATGCAGGGGACATGGGTTCGTGCCCCGGTCCAGGAAGATCCCACGTGCCACGGAGCAGCTGGGCCCATGAGCCATGGCCACTGAGCCTGCGTGTCCGGAGCCTGTGCTCCCCAATGGGAGAGGCCACAGCAGTGAGAGGCC